TCGGATTCCTTTTTGGAGTCCACCCCTTCACGTCGGGCAGCGTGAGACCGGCTTCCGCCTGATCACCGGAGGTCGGGTGGCTTGGGGTACGCGTTTTGGTCCGGGCTTGTCGTGGATCCTACGGTGTCTCCTGCTGATGTTGCCACGGTGCACATCACCAAGTTGGGGTCTCCCGACCTTTTCGTGTATCGGGCGGGTTGGTTGGGGAGGGAGGTTGGGGCACGGGGGCGGGAGGGGGAGATCCAAGGTTAAGCGGCGCGGGGGCCACTTGTCAGCCGGGTCGTCGTCGCCCTTCGGGTCACCCTTTTGCGCTGGGAGGTGGCCTTGAACTGCCTCCTTAGGGTGGGGGGACTTGTACCCCTGTCGACGAGGGGATTTGCACCCCTTTCCTGGCCGACGGGTGCGCCTGCCGTGCTGCTGCGGGAAGAGCCACGAGGGGTGTAGGGTGTAACGCAAGGGCGGCGCACGGTTGTCGATGGTGTCTGGCAGGATGGGGGCCTCGGGCTTTTGCGCGTGTCTCGTACGGGTTTCTGGTTTTTGAGTCTGCGTGTGCACGTGTATCAGAGAGTCCACTACACAGTTGGTATCAGAGTCTGCGTCTTGAGCGTGTGTCGTATGGGTGCGTGTGTATGGACACATTTGTTTTTATGTCTTCAAGGCGCCAGTACTCGAATTCCCGGGCGTGCTTCTATCATCGGCATGTTCTTCCAGGGCGGGTGCCACAAGGTCTGAGATCCCGATGACGAGCCGTCATTCCCAGTATGGGCTTTTGGTCATTAAAGGGGCCCTTTGCACCCCATCCCTCCTCGTCGCCCTCTCTCCCCCTCTCACCTCTCCTGCTCTGGGGCTCTGGGGAGGGGGTCCGCCGCGGGGGGGCAGGGGATCGGGCTCCCCCTCGCACCTCTCCCGGTGCGGGGTCCCCGCCCCTGGCTTGTCGCGGCGTACTTCACCCCTCGGGGGGTCGGGGGCAGGGGTCCGGGGTCCGCGGGGGAGACGGACGGCGGCCGAGGAGGCCTACTTCCCTTCCGCAGTGGCAGTGGCAGTGGCCGCCAATGCGCCGAGCAAGCTTACGACCTAGATCGAGAGAGGATCATATCAAAGAACACTTGCCAGTGCCACTGGACACGGCAGCTCCCGCCCCTATCAACCAACGCTTCGTGGAGGGCTTCCACCGAGGGGGCGGGGTGGGTGGGCGGGTCGGTCAAAAAGTATTTTTGGGCCCCGTCGCAGACAGACCTGAATCATCGACGTGCAACTGAAAGTGGAATGTGTTCTCGGGGCGCTCGATTTTGAGAGCCTTACGGGACCCACGGCTTTTTTCAAGGACTTCGCTACATTCTTTGCAAGGGATTCTTGGACATTGATGATGTTTGATCAACGAGTATGCGCGCATAGTAATTTTTTGCAGAGGATGAGGAGGGGGCGAACTCTGGCCTGCTTGGGATGGTGTGGGTTTATAATAGTTCGGAAGGACGGTGGGGCAGACACGTTTGTAAATTGCAATACGAAAAGGTGTACTGGTAAGGCGGCGACGGGGCGGCGACGGCGAGCACGGAGCCGCCAGACCGCCACCCAAGCCCAGCTCATAAGAAAGATGTATGAACCCCAAACACTGTAAGCACTGTTTGGGGTATATGCCAGAGTGCCGGGGCCCGGACCCCAGGCCGGCACACCATCCCGAATTCCCGCTCCCCTTTTGGCCCATGACATTTTTGACCCCCTCCGGGGCCCCATCGTGCGGTTGACAACAGTTCTAGAGGGCGCGCAAAACCAAACAGAGCAGCCCAACAGCGTGGGCGACGCCCCAAGATTGCCTCAAGACGGCCCAAGAGCCACCCAAGACGCCCCGAGAAAGTTGCAAATGCTCCCCGAGAGGGGGCGCCAGGAGGCCATCATTGCTGCATTCCCCAGGGGAAACGTGTATTTTCAGCATGTATGCTTTTGGTGTCTTATCAGCGTCCGAGACGGCCCAAGCGGCCTCCAAGATCGCCCCAAGACAGCCCAAGAGGCCCCAAAAAAGGCTCCAGGACGACCCAAGAGAGCTCCAAGACGCTCCAAGAGGCGCCCAAGACGACCCAAGAGGGCCCCAAGCGGGGTCCAAGATAGGGAACTCCATCCGACCTTCCGAGCTCTCCGCCATGAGTGGTCCCCCGAGGCCGCAGCAGGCACCCAAGAGGCCCCCAATGGCCCCAATCGAGGCCCCGAGGGGCTCCTGCACGACCCACACGCGGCCACAAGAAACTTCAGAACTCGCTCCACGAGGCGCTCGCGAAGCATGCCAAGATTTCCCTAATCAGAGGTACTATCCAAGAAGCCTCTGGTTCAGAACTTGCGGTTTGGGCCGAAGGCCATAGATGAACAAGCAATTGGCCTGGCCACGGACCCATCCCAATGCAGTCATGTGTAGCGCAGGGCGTGTGTCTCTCTTCACATATACTGCGAGCCCTGGGGTACAGCGGAAAGCCAGCTGCTGCGGAGCATGCGTGCACGAGCGCATTGAAGTTTTTGTGGGTCCCGATGAGCGTGAAGGGCACATTGAATAATTCGGATGCTCCCGCGCGAACACACCCATTGAGGCCGCAGGTGGCCGACATGGACGGGGGGACGCCGTGCGAAGCTGCCCATATGTGCCATAGGTTGAGCTCCTTGAGGGGCATTATTCGCGTGGCTGGTGTGCCGACATGGACGGGGTGGCGCTGTGCGAACCTTGTCTCTGGGCCTGTAGGTGGTGCTCCTTAGTGGGCACGATCCGCGTGATGGGGTGTGCCGCAATGGCCAGGGGGGGCGCAATACGAACCCTTCCTCTGGGGCCGTAGGTGGAGATCCCTGTGGGCCACGATCTGTGTGAGAGGGTTGCCGAAGTAGGCGGGTAGGCGGGATGCGGACCTTGTCTCTGGGGCCGTCCGTGGGACTTCTTGCGGGCCTCGATATGTGGGAGAGGTGTGCCAACGTGAGCGGGGCGGCGCTGTGGGGCTTCCTGGCGGGGCACGATCTGTGTGAAAGGTGTGCCCCTATGCGAACCTTGTCTCTGGGGACGTAGTTGGAACTCCCTGCGGGGCGCGATCCCTGTGGGGGCCGTGGGACGCTAAGCCCAGCTTGTCTCTGGGCACGATTCGTGTGACAATAGATGTCCTCCCATGCCGAACACTTTAGACTGCAACTAGATCTTGCTAGAACCTAGGCGCGCGCGAAGCGCGCGCGCGTAGTTCGAGTAATCCATATACATATATACACACTTACATTCACACATAAGCGGCGTCGAGGTTCCCGGGCCCAGAGGCAGCCTTTTTCCAAACCTCCTCCACCCCTTGGTATTCACTTTAGCCCCCGGGATCCAGAGCGCTGGGGCGGCCTGAGTGGACCTCCAACTGAGCCCATAGCGCCCTGGGACAGCAGGAACGCTTCCAATACAGCCCAAGGGGCTCCAGGACTGGACCAGGAGTCCGACCCCCTGAGAGGCTTCCGAAATCGTAGATGTTCTGTTGCTTTTTGCTTTTTGCTTAAGTTTCGTATCCCTTCAAAGCGACAGAGATGGCTCGAACGGCTAGAAATACCGGCCTACGGTGGCCCAAAAGGGATGCAAGAGGGCACCAAGAAGGGCCCAAGAGCGGTTCTAGACGGCCCAGGAGGGCCCCTACGATACCCATCCCATCCGGTCCCTTCGGAAACCCAAGACAGCCCAACGGCAGGAGCGGAGAACGAGGAATAATGAAGAGGAGGCTGAGGAGGTAGGGTGGCAAGGGGAGGGTGCGAGGGCGAGGAGGAGGAGGAGGAGAAGGAGGAAGAGGACGGGGAAGGGAAGAAACAGGAAATGAAGGAGGGCCCTCCCCCAGGGGCACAAGGAGAGTGGTCGCGGCTTCTGGTATCCACAGGATTGCTCGCGCTGGCCCTAGGATCCTGCCTACCCCAGCACGCCTCCAGCAGAGCTCGGAAGCTCTGCGGGCGGCCGCCGAGCTCCCCCTTCCCCAGGAACAGCAGCTCCAGGAGGCTCGGAGGGAGGGCCCTGCTTCACAGGCCTGGGTGTCGTGGGCGGGTGCGGGTCCTGGGTGTAGACTGCGAAGGCCTGGCCGGTGCCGCCGACCCTGAATGACGACGACGACGACGACGACGACGAGTCAAACGGAACAGCCTCTTCCACATGCCGACAGGATCGGCGGATTTGTGCGCCCATCCCCGTCGCTCTGCGGCTGCTCATTCTTTTTGCAGTGTCAGTTTATCGCCCCCGGTGCAGGGGGCAGGATGCACGGTACATGGACACCTCCTGTAGCGCTTGGCCCTGCTCGTCTTCCTTCTCCTCCAGGCGCTCCATTCCCCCTTCGCTCGGGGCAAACAGGAAGCAGCTGCAGCCTCAAATCCGAGGCAGTTGCAGCCTTCCCCTTTCCTCAACCTGCTCCTCCTCTCTTGCATCCTCGTCCCCCGGCGGATACGTAGCACTGCGGTGCCCTGGTTGGCCCGCTGGCCCGCAGCCAGGTCCACTGGGCCCAGCCTGCCGTAGCGCCCGGCCCCGCGGAGCACGGGGCCCGCCCTGTGCGGCGCAGCCTGGCATCTGCCCTAGCTTCCATGGCTCCATCCTTGAGCCTCCCTCCTCTTCCGTCCTCCTCCTCCTCCTCCTCCTCCTCCTCCTCCTTCTCCTCCTCCTCCTCCTCCCTCCCTCCCTCCCTCCCTCCCTCCCTCCCTCCCTCCCTCCTCCCCCTCCTCCCTCCTCCCTCCCTCCCCTCCTCCCCTCCTCCCTCCTCCTCCTCCTCCTCTCCTCTCCTCCTCTCCTCCTGCTCCTCCTCCCCTCTCCTCCTCCTCCTCCTCCTCCTCCACCTCCTCCTCCTCCCTCCTACCTCCTCCCTCCTCTTCCCTCTTCTTCTTATTCTTTTTATTATTATTCGTCTCCCTCTTCTTCTTTCCTGTCCTCTTCTTCTTTCTTCCCCTCCTTCTTTCTTCCCCTCCTTATCCTTCCTCTTCCGTCCTCCTCCCTCGGCTATCTCCCTCGCCTGCCCCCCCGCCCGCAGTTCGCCGACGGCGCCTACATCGAGCGGGAGATCAAGCGCCGAGACCGGGGCGAGGACGGGGGGCGGTTGGCGGGGGCTCCCTCTCGCTGCTCCTCCCCTCTCCCTCCCCGCCTTAGGTAGCAGATCATGGGATCCAGTTTTTTCACTCATGGGCCGAAGGTGCGCCGCTCCGAAGTCGGCGAACCCAATGGCCTTCAGCCTCTGTAGCTGGAGGCTCTGGTCTTCTGGTGTCTCTGGAATGCCTGACAATGCTCGATGTCGTGAAACGGCTTCCCGTCAACGGGATGCAGACCCTCGAGCAGCCTCTTGCGGGCCATGTACCTGGAGCCACTCTTTGGTGGCCCTTTGCATTCCTCCAGAAGACATCTGAAAACAAAAGTGGCATGGTTGCCGCACCTCGCACAGAAAACCCAAAAGGCCATCATCACAGGTGCCAGCAGAGAGGGCGTGAGAGGGGTGCACCTGTCTTAGGCGCTCTCGAAACTCGCCCGAAAAAGGGGTGCACGGTCGATTACGTCGCCTCGAGACAGCGTCATCAGAGTGGCTGAATGTGAAGCACGCCGCGCAACGCCACGCAACATGCTCAGCTCTCTGCCAGTGGTGCACTAGCAGAAGCTGTATCTTATACTTATCGGACTTACATAATCGTTCAGACCTGGGGTGCCTGGGCCAAGCCGCAAGCATCCTCGGAATGATTTTATGAATGCTAGCGGCGTCCTCCTTCATTTCCCCGAGCGACGACAAAGAAGATGGGTCGAACGACGGGTGCATTTGGAGGGCCGTCTTAGCAAACTTGTCACACTGCTGGTTGATTTGAAATGGTAACATATCCTCAGGCCGAGCGTTCTCTTCGTCATGATGCGCTTTGACCGTCAATGCTGCTCTTAGCAATCGCCTACTATCACTACCCAGCGCCGTCCGAAATGTGCCTGCATGCATATTTCTATATGGGAGTCTAGCTGCCAGAGGCTTGTGATACCCATCAAGGACAGCTTTGCAATCAACATGGGCGGTAGATTCTTGCGTAAGCATCTGCTGCAGTACTAGAAATCCAAGGTGCTCTGCCGCCTGAGGGGTCTGCGGAAGAGGGAAAACAACAGGGCCCGAAATGATAATCTCAAGCTCCTCATCCTCAGAAAATCCGCAGACCGCCCAGGCGGCCCTTTCCAACCATTTGAGACCTGACCTAGTGCACGTGCCATCAGAGCCCGTGTGAGGTCCTAGTTTACAGCAAGAGCGCTCCGAGTCCCCTACAGAGCCTCCAACAATCCTGATGTCCATATCATTTTCATTAGCAGAAGGAGTGACACCATCGGGGTCCGAGGTGGGGTGATGAAGTATACCTAGCAACAGGACTAGATTATTCTCAGCCTGATCTGTACATTTTGCTAGAAGGGACTGGTCTAATAGTTCATTCCTGAGGGTCACGGCCTCCTCGGACTGGCAGTTGAACAGCCTGTGCACAAGGGTGTCTCCTGCAAGTCCACACAACGGGCAGCAGTCCTCAATGGCATAACCTGCGGCAGAGGCTCTACTGGTAGTCCGGTAGGCCTGACATAAGTGAGGACCGCCTGACCTTCAGAGAGTTTTTCCTTCCCAGTGGCATTTCAAACTCTCCTGGCTATGTCCAAACACACCCTGGGAACATCCTGAATCTGTTTTAGACTTTTGGCCGCTTTGATCTCCCAAGTCCTCGTACACGCATCCTGAAGCCAGTACTCCAGAAGCTTGGGCGAAATACCAGCGAGCGAGAACAGCTTGCCCTCGTGCGTTTTCAGCACGAAAGGTCCTTCAAATGTCCAGCCGATCCTGTCAAGAGCGTGCGCCGCTGCTGTAACAGGTCCTCGTACTTGAGATTATATTCGAGTCCAGAGCGAGGTGCTATCTGCTCCCAGCAAGGTTTAAGCCCTCGAATCCCCAGGGTTCCCATAGGTCCTGCTTTGCCAATTCCAGCAGCCCAGACCTCCTGAGCCCAGCGAACAACAGGTGCCAGGGTCCACTTATCAGTTTTGGACTCATACAGCGCGAAAGTAGCCGATCTGCTTTTACCCTTACACTTTGGCCCTGTGGCCGGGAGCTCGATGGCTCTAAGGCACTCCAAATACGTGTTTGACAGACCCTTGATACATGAGGCAAACACTCCAGCGGGCAGCAGATTACAAGTGACAATCTTACGGGCTCCCTGGCCCGCTACACGAACAAGTTATTTCAAACGCGCAGCTCTCTGTTTTATATTCTGAATCCTCTTGGCCTTCTTGGTGTCCCTGGAAACAGTATCCGATTTCCCTGCCCTGAAATCTGGCGCCAGATTGGTGGTGATTTGATGCTGTTTTCCTGCCCAAGCTCTTGAGTTCTTCAGGATGTTCCTGCCGAGCGCTGCTGGTGAAACGACAAGTGAGCACTTGTCAACCGACAAGGCGGCGTCCAGCTCATCCTTGATCATTGCTGCAAGCTGCTGCGCGGCCTGCACTATCCACTTAAACACTTCTTTGCTCAAGCCGAGCGCGGTGAGCGAGAAACCATCGAGGTATAATCGAAGAATATGGCGGAGTTGAGAGAGGTCATTCTGAGGAATTCTTGGAAGCAGTAGATCCTGACATATACTATGGCGAAAGAGCATCCCGCCACAATGCCCCTGAACGCGTACAAAGCTTTAGAAACTGCTCGCCTGTATCCTACAAGCCTCGCAGAGCCATGCGCAGCAAGGTGGAACTGCATCAGCGTCGGACTAAATCCAAGTTCTAGGCCTCTAGCGTGCAACCTGGCTCGCACGAAACGCTCGTAGAACGCAACCAGGTCCCAAAAGAGGCCCACTGCGGCCTCGCCAGAGGCCCGATAGGCTTCACGTCTAACATTCTGCCTCCAGACAACGTCTATCGGGGACCTTGCAGGTCCACAGCTGAACCAGGGGTGGTCAAATTTGTCCATCCAAGATCTGGCATAAGGTATTCTGATCTTCCCAGATACCCGATAAAACATGCAGAAGATCCCAATCGTGCGATGCCCTTTGGAGGCCTTGCGGGGCAACGCCATAAGCACCCGCTGAAGTTGAGGGGGAAGCTCACCAAGACATTCTGAGATCCCAAGAAGATATATACATACTCGTACTCCCTGGTCGGTCAGGCACGATCAGTGACGGCAGTGAATTCCATCGAGACTGACAGCTGACCTGGTGGAGTAAGCCTTGCTAATGTCCTGCACCGCTGCAACGGAGGGCAGCGGGGGCGCGGGCTGTGCAACTGTCTGGCTGGGCCAGCTCCTTTATTGAGTGCCTTCGTGGCCCAGTCTTGCCAGCTCTCTCTGTGCTTTCTGTGGAAGTCCGCAATGACTGCCCTCCCATAGCCTACCACCTAGCCTTGTTCTTGCTCAAGCTCGAAGCACGTGTCGTTCCGATTCCCGGGGCCGAGCCGTGACTTGCCATGCAGAAACGAACGAACCGGTCGAGCAAGGCCCCGAATGGTACGAAAGCTTTTGCTGGTACTTGCGTGCTCAAGTGCATGATGTGGCTTGGCGGTAGCAAACTTACTGCATAGTTGATCAAGATCTCGGGCTTGATCCGCAAATAAAACCGGCCTGGAAAACTCCACCGAGCTCGGCAACTGGATCGTTCGCCTGAAGCGCGCCGCGAGCCAAGAAGGGCCCTGCGCTACAGCTGCAAAACGCTTGTGAACTGCAGCTCTCTGGACCAGCGGGGCGAGAAGTGGTTTCGGCAACAATCCTCGAACTCCTGGTCGTGTTAGTTTCGATTTAGTCCGATTTGCCACCTGCCGTTCCGCCTTCTGGGCCCAATACCTGTAACATACCCTTAAGACGCCTCCTAACACCTGATGGTTTAGACGCCCCTGCTAGTCCTTGAAGCTGGAGGAAAAAGGGAAAATATTCTCGCTGCGCCCCAACAGCTCCGACCAATCGACGTGCGAGTCTCCAATCTCGCACTCCTCTGCTGGCAGCTCGCAAGACGCGGCGGGCGCCGTGCCGAACTGCAAAATACGAGCCTGATGCATGCTGGCTGGTAGACATCTGCACAGGGAAGTGAGGCCTGCCGCGCCAATCAACGTCGGTTGAAACTGATGTGGCCAGCTTGGCCAACTCAGACTCTACAATGCAAACATCTATGACCTTCGTCTTGCCTTTGTCTGATAAAGGGAGGTTCTGGAACCAAAACTCGAGCCCCGAGCGCCTTTGAAAACCCAGAAGAAGCCAATGGCTCATGCGGTATGTTGAAGTCCCCCCAATGATGTACTGCATGTTGGGCGCTCTGCAAAGTGTGGCTACGCGCTCCAGTATCTCCAAGATAGTGATAGAGAGGCCTTCTGAGACTTTCCCATGGGCCGAAACGCGTGGGATACCTGGGGTCCCTGGTTGCTCTACCACACATGAAAGCGCGCGCCCCCTCAAGGGGATCCCCTCAGGGGGAGAGGAAGGCGGCTCTAAATTTTAGGCCCCTAGAGTAGCTCTGACAAAGATGGCCACTCCAGACGAGACGCCTTCGTCCCCAAGGTCATTGAGACTGGAGCGAGACGCGCCAGTGGGGCCCGTGGAACTTGGCGCCCAGAACGACTTCCAACCATGATTCAGAGCCCAGGCACTCGCGGTTCCCAGGGGCCCCTCCAGACGCTTCATCTCCTGAGCAAGCAAAGCTGCGACCGTGGATTCTTGTAACTCACCCAGTCTCTGTTTGATAGTACCCCAAGAATAACCATGGAACGTTTCCACCAGCATAGCCTTCCCACCATCACCAATTTCCCATTCAAACTGGCCCAGGTCGAAATCAAAATCGCTGTCGGAAAACTCAGGCCCATAAATGGTTGAAGTCACTGAAGTACTCTGTGCTAGAAGTGTCATCGCCGGCGCTTGGCTCGCGCAGACTTGCTGGCGCTGCAAAAGATTTGCTACCCTGGTGACCTCCTGGCCGCATCGGCTGCTGCGTCGCCTGAACCAGCGCCACTGTCTCCTGCGGCGCCGCGGGGAGAGCGCGAACCTCTTTCGCGTTCTCGCTCCGCTTCGCATGCAGGAGATTGTCCCATGCCTGCGCCCGCGCCGCGACCAGCGCC